TCTCTCTCTCTCTCTCTCTCTCTCTCTCTCCAACTTCTGCCCATTCAGTTTCCTTGCCGTCACCGACCCAATAGGGCTTTTGTGCAAGTGAGAGGACCGTCTAAGTCACCAATCAGGCTGCTGAGCAGAGGAGACGCAAAGAGTCAGAGGGGGCTGCTGCATGAAAGGAATAGCCGGGGATCGGGGGATCGAAAAACTCGGCTGATGCACTAGAAGAGGCTTGTTGACATTCCAATGAGGCCCTCGGCGTATTTTCCTCCTTCGGATAATGAGTAAAATAATAAACTGGTGCAGAAATAAGAAGTCAGCCTCGCTCGATGCTTTTTACGATTATTCTTATTTCGTGTTGGCCGGACCCATCAAGAGGTACTATAAACTTGCGGCTTGTATATTTTTCGGCGGTCGCAGCGTGGTGGGGCGGCTGCAGAGCACTTACTCACCTGCTTAGTTATTCATTGGGGGAGGTGGCGTATCTTGGCAACATATAATGGAATCAGCAAACGCTCGTTTGGAGGTGGGCCGCGGCACACTGGCGCGTCTGGGCTACGGAGCCCAGCCGATATCGGCGAACAGCGCGCCCAGCACGCCATGCCACGCTACTCGCCCGGCCACTCACCAATAATAACCAGGCAAACTTACTTTTGTACTCACGAAATGAGTTGAGCCCAGTTGAGCAGTATGCTGCCGCCCGCTTTCTGCCGCGTCGATACAGTAAATTCACTGTTCTGCATTTATGCAGGTAAAACCGGGTAAAACCCCCCGCACGGTCACCCACCTTTTACTCCGACTGATAATATTTTGATCACCTGACTCTGACTAGATCTGGGTTCGAGTTGTCGTCTCTCGTGACTTCTCGTACAAAAAATGTGCATTTAGGATGTCTCTTTCATAGATTTTGCCCAGACTCCGGTGAGGCTATCGCAAACCCCTCCTGAGCCTGTGGTGGTGCAACTCATAGACTCTTAAAATGGCTCTAGGAGGAATCTTTTGATCCTTCTCCTGGATGTCTTGACGAAGTCTCCTCGCAGTCTCTGCGTTGTCTCCGGGTGGACCCTGTAATATCTCTGGAGAGTATGTGCATGCTCGCTTTAGGATGTCTGTTTCTGGCCTTTAGTTGTAGACTTAGTTTATTGCGGTTCTTTTAAGGTATAAAAAGTCTATAATTAAACGTAACTGTGTTCGCGACACGTTTTTTTGAAGATAAAAAACGTTTCGCGCACACAGTTACGTTTAATTATAGACTTATTAAACCTTAAAAGAACCGCAATAAATTAACCTAGAATGAAATAGAGAGCTTTTTCTTTATTTAATTCTCATTTTGATTTTAAACTTAAAATAGCGTTGTTTTTTTTTTTCGGACTTTTCCAGTTTCAGTCCTGTATCACCTTAAAGATCCTTCCTAGAACCATTTTAAGTAAGTGTCTCTGAGTTGCCCCAGCACAGGCTCAGGGGTGGCTTGTAATTGCCTTGGTAGATTCTTGGCAATGTCTCTGAAAGAGACATCCTAGAGATCTGCTGGAAACCCCTTTTTCGTACGGGTTTGGGTTTCGTCTCATTCTCGCCGTTTTCCCAATAATTCGCGTGTCTCCCTTCTTCAGTGTTATTCAGATACTGTGACGTCACATTCCATATAATGTGAACTGTGTCACGTTATTTAGAATATCATGTCACATTCTTTATAACGTGACATACCTTTTGCACCGCTCTGCTCTCAGGGGCTCAGTGCATACACTGTAAGAAATATATTTGCACATGTACGATATGTTTTGTAATTTGCCATTCACAATACGAGTCGTACATGTACAACCTCCCGTTGTCGCTCGATATTCGATTCCAAGTCGATACACTATGAAAAAAGTAGGTAGGTTTACAGGAAAATTTTCCTTGACTCAAGTTGTAAAATTACAATTTGAAATCGTAAAAATACATGCAGTACGTATAAACTTAAAATCCATTGGCTAGTAAAAAAATATGCTCTCGTAAATTTACAACTTAAATTATAATTCGAGTTTACAATATTTTTTGTAAATTTACGACGGCATTTTTCACAGTGTATATAGGGCTAGTAAATTGTACAATTTTAAATTGTACTTGTATGACTTCTTCCATGGAAATTTTCCTGTACCCGGTACGACAATTTTTCACAGTGTAAGAGGCGCACGTATGTCACGTGAAAACGAATTTGACATGATACCCAATAATGTGACACAAGTCACATTTTATAGAATGTGACGTCACAGTATTTGAATAACAGTGCTCTGGGTAGCGATTGGTCCAAATTTACGACATAAAAGTTGCCGCTGCCAATCGGAAATCACATCAGCCTAGGTAGCGAAACAAGGGCAATTATTGGTTTACGATATTACTGGACATTTTGAGGATTCTTTTTTCATAAATCTCAAATGGTGCTTCTTCATTTCTTCTTCATTTTTTCTAATTGCAAACTCTCAATTCTAAATGACACTGTGTGAGTGGAGCATAATAAAAGCGGAGGTTGTCAATACTCCTTGCCGTGCAGGCGTGGGACTGGAGGCTGTCTCATATTGTAGGGGAGGGTGTGGCCCGACGACTGTCCCGACTCGCGGGGTAGCGGCACGAAGCGCGGCTAGCCGAGAGTATAATCTGCGGCAAGTGGGGTATACTTTTTGCCAGTGGCGCTACCCTACGACGGTTGCCTCTCGTTACACAACGCCTGTTGAAAACTGGACTGAACCAGGGTACGTCTGTCGGCATCGGTCGGCATACTGCTCCTCAACGTTTTGTTTGCAATTTTCCAGTTTTTGCGTGTCTCGGTGGTGGGGACCCTAGGAACTCCCTGTTCATGCGACTGCTATCACTACTGAGCTGAAGCCAACTTGCAACGCGACGGGTCCTACGAGAAAGAAGCGATCTCGTTGCGCCGATCTAGAAAAGTCCGATCTTGCCGCGCCGCTGCAAAATCGTCCTTTTTTGAATCGGCGCGGCGAGATCGTATTTTTCTGGATTGGCGCGACGAGATCGTTTCTTTTTAGTAAGACCCGTCGAACGATGTGTGGCAATGTGTATGTAAGAACCAAAGAGGTCTGGCAGATACTAAGTCAACTTATCACTTTTAATTTCAACACTGCAACGTCAATCTTAACGACGGTCAGGCGTCGTATTACATTGGGTGCACTCTTGAAATTCTACTAACGCACAGTTTTCATTGGCTGAGCGATAGCGGAGCCAATTACTCCTGTGCGCGCGCTAAGTCGAGAATTAATCGAGGTAGCGATCTAAAAACTCCTGGGTCGTTTTGTACCGTTCAGGGGAGACCCTTCTGAAAATGCTTATTCGGCCGAAAGGAAAATTTCGCGCACCTTATATTTTTAGTGTGATGAAGAGTGTAAAGAAACTATGACTGACATGGTCAAAG